TCTACCTGCAAAACCAGAGACCCAGAAGAAGGAACTCATCTGCCCCCGAGACCCAAGTCTGGGGCCTCGGCCCCAGGTTAGGCCGGTGTCCTGATCTCCAGAATCTTCTTTGTCCTTGGGATCACTTTGGTCATCATCACCACTATCGTGTTGAAATCACGATAGGCAGGAAATAAGAGGAAAACAGGAATGGGAAAGGGGGGGTTCTCACCATTCTTGTTTTGGATTAATTATAATAAATCTGATTCTAGGTATTTATTTATTTAATGAATTCTCACCTGAGGACATGCTCATTGATTTCAGAGAGACGGGAAGGGAGGGACGGGGAGAGAAACATTGATCGGTTGCCTCTGGCCCATACCCTGACCAGCTGGGGACTGAACCTACAACCAAGGCATGTGCTCTGACTGGGAACTGAACCTGAGACCCTGCGGCGTATGGGATGATGCCCAACCCACTGAGCCACACTGGCCAGGGCCGATTCTAAGCAACTGGTGCACTGAGTCTTAGGTAAATGTGGAGGGACACATAACCCGCTTCAGGTATTTTTGGTGACGTGGGCTGGGGCCAGAGTGGCCTGGCTTTGTCATCGGCTTCCCAGCTGTTCAGCAAACTGTCGAGCACATTAAATATGCGTATTCACTGAATGGCTGACTCAAATGCTTACATGGCCCAGGACTGCACGCTGCCTCCGTGTAATCCTCAGAGTGACCCGGGCGCTTAAGCATTATGCCACACTGATGACGACGGGCGGCTTGGTTACATTGTGGCTTATCCAAGGCAGATTGCATTTAAATCCTTCTGGTGACATTCTGCCCCGCCGTCCAATGCAGTGTTCTGCACCCAGTGAATCCTTAATAATTATTAATTGATGAGAGTGCTTTCACAGCCTGGATGCTTAAACCACGTGCCCTCTGAATATGATGGGATGTGCAGCATATTTTAATTAAATACTGACAACTTTAATTCTGATTGCTCATTCCAATACTCTTGAGCTGATAGTACCAAGCTAATGGCTTGTTCATTTTGGAAGATATTAGCTGCAGGGTGCTGCCTTTCACCCGAACAAAAGATCATAATAATTAAAATCTGATATTGCTCTCAATGAACTCCTTTAAAGTGACTGATATCCTACAGACACACACAGATACAAGCGTACATGTGCCAACGTTCTCAAGAATCTATGACACTTTGGAGAAACTGTCCATTGCTTTCCGGAATGAAAAGTTTTCTGTTGACATGATGAAAGACTCCTTACTAGGTGCAGGGGAAATGTGTATTGCCACGGACTGGTTTCTGAGTTTCCCAGGAGAGGGAAGCCACAGAGAAATCCTGAGCACTAATGACTGCGGGAGCAGAGTGTGTTCGTACTTTATCGCACCCATCAGGGTCCAAACCACCGAATCAGAGACTGAGACGCAGGAAAATCTTATTGTGTGTGTGTGTGGGGGGGGGCTGAGCAGGAGGGAAGAGAAATGATATCTGAGGAGACAAAGAGAAGAAATAATTCGGAGAGGGCGTCCAGAAGGCAAATATACCGCATATTGTGTTTCTTCATTGCTTCGGTTTACACTAGCACCCGCTGCGGGCCAGGCAAGGCTGAGGGCCACACCCCACGGCGCTTGTCTAGAACGGGATCTTAACCAGGGGTCCATGTTTGCACTTTAGGGGGACTATGAACTCCCCAAATCATATGCAAAACTCATGTTTATGGGTAGATACTGGCATGGGCAGAAATAGACTGGTACTTTTTTTCCGAGGATGATGTAGACAGCAGGGGTCACAGTGAGTGGAGTCTGCCTTCTCTAATCTTCCCCTGGAAAGGATGAACCAGCTGAAAACAAAACCCAAGCAAACCAACAAGCATAAATATTTTACTTCTGCAAAGGTAAAAAAAATATTGTCTATGAAAGCCTTAAACACACCATGGCAACTCCGTGGCCAGTGTGGCTCAGTTGGTTGGAGCGTCGTCCCATAACCGAAAGGTTGTGGTTCAATTCCCGGTCAGGACACACACCTACACTGTGGGTTCGGTCCCAGGTCTGGGCACGTGTGATCCCCAGGCCGGGAGAAAACCAACCTGTGCTTCTGTCTCAATTCAGTGTTTCTCTCTTGCCCTTCCTGTCTCCCTAAAAGCAGTGAAAAAATGTCTTTGGGTAACGATTAAAAAAAAAAAACCAAGCCAGCATGGCAAGTCAATAATACTGTATTGCCTAGTTGGAAGTTGCTAGGAGAGTAACTCTTAAATGTTCTCATCATAGGAAAAAAATGACCCTGTAATGATAGGTGGCCATAGATGTTAAGTGGACGTTGTGGCGACCATTTCCCAATACACACAAAAACCGAGTCATTGTGTTGTACACCTGGAACCAACAAGTGGTTTTGTGTCAGTTATACTTCAACAAAAAAGATTTTAAAAATCCAACTTGAGAACAAAACCTTCAAAAAAGAAAAAACCTGCACTCCGACGGGGCTAAGAGGTCACCAGGAAAGAATGCATGATAGCACACGGGTTTGACAAACTCCTGTGTATCTGAGTCACCCCGTCCAGGGCTGTGTCATGAGCGAGAACTGGAAGTAATCGACCCGCTGCTAAGCCTTGTGTGACGCTACTCCATGTCCTCACATGGGGACAGAGGCAGGGGCCACAGGCCTGTGGGGGTCTGTCTCAGCACATCCTCCTACCACCTATGCCCTTCTGAGTGTTCATTGTTCACCAACCATTGTTTAAAGAGCTGCGCCTACAAGTTATTATTACACACGTATTTTACAAAGATAGGTGTTATTATTGGTCTTATTACAGATAAGGAGATTGACGCTCATGAAGGTTCTATAACTTGTCTAAAGTTCACAGCTAGAAGTTCCCTAACTCTACCCCTCTCTTTTAAAAAAAATATATAAATGCCAACACTTAAAAAAAAAAAGTGAGGTAGATGTCAGGAAATGAAAGCAACTCTATAAACCCAAGACAACAAGAGACCTTTTGTTCTCATGGTATTATTAACTAATTTGAATAATGTTTATGGGCTGGCTGTCTGTCTCATGGGGAGAAAACTCAGGGCCCAGCTTTTGAGCAGAATTCATCTGTACTGTTCCAGGATTACAGGATTTGAGTTGAGGTGGTCTGGGGGTCGGGGGCAGAGGGGTGAGGTTGCAGGAGAAATGAGATTATTAAGGAAGGGGGTTTAAGGTAAGCTACACAATTTCAAAAATTCCGGTCCACGTGGCCTGGAAAACAAGATTTTTCTTAGCACCTAGACTGTGCTTGAACTTCCCACGCTCCTTATTGATGGCCACTGAAAACAATTTATTTTGACACAACTTCAGACTTATATTTGCAATAATAGCACGATAATTTCTGTATGTCTTTCATCCAGATTCTACAATTGTTCATATCTTACTGCACTTGCTTTGTCGCCCTCTAAATAAACATATCCATACTGTTTTCTTTAGCATACAGACATAACAATGCTCTTTTATCTCTTCAGGGTATATCTCTCCTAAATGAGGCTGTCCTCTTCCATTACCAAAATATAGTCATCAAAGTCATGAACCCATCACTGATAACACACCAATAATAATCGACAGCCTTGTTCAGATCTCACCCATTGTCCTGGTCATGTCAGCAAAAGCAAATCCCAGCTTGTGCGCTGCGGTCAGCCAACCTGTCTCTTTGGTCGCTTCTACTCTGGAACCGTTTCTCGTCCTTTTGTGTCTGTCATGGCACCTGTCTGTGGGAAAGTGCAGGTCATGCTACCCTCTGCTCAGTGCATTCTTTCAGGAGGCAGCTTTGCCCTACACTGGTGATGTTGACCTTGACCTCTTGGTGAGGGGGATGTCTGCCAGATTTCCCCACTGTGAAGTCACCCTTCACTTTTACATTACTGAATTTAGAAATATATGCTAAAGCTATATATGACATAAAAGTTACCATTTGAACCATTTTTAAGTGTCTAGTTCCGTAGCATCACACGCACTCATGTTGTTGGGCAACCATCACCACCACCTGCTGAAATTTTTCATCTTCTCCAGCAGCAGTCGGTTAATCACTGACTCCCCATCTCTCCCAGCCCCCACAACCGCCATTCTGCATTTGTCTCTGTGAATTTGCCCATGCTAGGGACCTCGTATAAGTGAAATCATACAGCAGTCGTCCTTCTGTGACAGGCTTATTTTATTTAACACGTCTTCAAGGCTCATCCATATGGCAGCGTGTGTCAGAAATTCCTTCCTTCCTGAGGCTGAAAGAAATATTCCTTTGTAGTATACACCACAAGTGGCTTATGCATTCATCTGAGGATGGACACTGGGGTGCTCCGCCTTTCAGTTATTGTGAATAAAGCTGGTGTGAGCACGCATGCGCAAATATCTGCTCCTGGCTGGTTTCCTTTCTTTTGGATCTGTACCCAGAAGAGAAATCGCTGGATCATTATTTTCCCCTTCTTAGTTAACAAGTTCCTTATGGGATGATAGTCTGAGACTATATAAATATCCCACCACTCTTCACACTTTCACCCACCGGTTTTAGCACCCCTTGATCCTAGCTGAATCAATTATTATTCCAATGCTGCCAAATGGTCATTTTCTTCCCATCATTCCTTCTACATTTATTAGTTGGCATCCTACTGTAGGGAAGAAATTTCCCTGGTGTCCCATTTACTTATAAATATGGACTGATTTTATTCAATGGGTTATAATTTTTTACTCCAGGGACACTATTGCTCTGAGAAATTCCTTTCCCTGTAACTCTCAAGAGGGCAAGTTCGGGAAAATGCGGGAACCTTTTATATTTCCTTGTCACCGTCAAGAAGTCTAGGCGTGTGGTCTGACTTCTCTAAGTCAAGATCACTTTCTATCTGTAGTTACAGTGGAAATCCTATTTTGGATAGTTTCTGCACCACCCACCTGGGCAGCCCCGGCCCGCAGAAACTACATTTCCCAGAAGCCTTCGAGGTGCGTCATCAGCTCGCGCGGCGCTTCGCTCGCGAAGCCGGCTTCGGAGAGCCGGCTGTGGCGGCGGCAACATGGCTGACTTGATAAGTGTCGGCGTGAACCTGGAGGCATTTTCCCAGGCCATTAGTGCCATCCAGGCGCTGCGCTCCAGCGTGAGCAGGGTGTTCGACTGCCTGAAAGATGGCATGAGGAACAAGGAGACGCTGGAGGGCCGGGAGAAGGCCTTCATCGCGCAATTCCAGGACAACTTGCATTCGGTCAACCGGGACCTCAAGTAGGTACCGGCTGAAGGGGCCGGGGCCGGGGGGCTCCCACCCTGCCCCGACCCCGCGCGAGTCTCCCTGTGCAGGGACCTTCCTCTCTTTCCCTTGCTCCCTCGTTGTCTTCCCTTCCTCCCAGCCTCTGCCTGCCCTCAGGGACACCTGACCCCTCACCTCTGCGTTCCCGGCTCCCCTCGCTTGGACTCCTGTTCCGGCTGCCTCCCGCCCTGGCCCCCTTCTGTGGTCGTTCCATTGCTCACGTGGAGACACGTCCTTCCCGCGAAGTTTTCCCTTCGGCTTAACAGGTTTCTCACCTGTAGGACCTCTGTGCCCCACCGCATCTCATCACACTGTACTCACAGCACCAAACGGGACCGGCGCAGCCCTGCCCCAAAACCGAGTGCCCCCGAGCTGATTAGCCCCAGTTCCTCCCCGTGACCTGGCATTCATCAGTGCCAGCTGTCCCCCTCCGGACACGACCAAACAGTCCTTGATCCGCCTTTCCCTGCCTTCTTCCCACCCCCACTGCTCTGTTCAGGTCCTTCCTCGAGAGAGAACTAAGCTCAGGCTTAACCCCCCTCCCCTCCCTATTTATTCATTTGTGGTCCCTTTAAGGGTAAGGATTGCACATTTCTCTTTCTTACAGGTCCCCTTCTTATTTCATAAGTGGTTGTCAGAGTTAGGTGGGAGGATGTTTGTGAAGTGCACATAGTAGGCACTTGTTAACTGGTTAGGGCCTCAGGTTGTCTTCCCTTCCTTAAGAGAGGCAGTCCTTCCCAGGCAGGTTAGGATGACAGGATGTTTTTGTTTTATTTCGCAGACTGACCTGAGCCAGGAAGGGCGTTTGGGGAGCTAGCCCTCCCTTGGTGGTGGAGTGGATGGATTTTGTTTTTTCCCTCAACTTGTCTCCTTAGTAACCAGATGGAAGAGGGAGGTAGAATGGAGGAGGAGGTGGTGACCAAATGGAGGGTGCCTCTGTCCCCTCTCCCCCCTCCGCCAAGCAGTTGCCATTCTTTGGGGGAAGGCCAGGAAACTGCACCCCCTCCTCAACTCCCACATCCCTTGCTGCTCTCTGGCACAGCGCCCCTCAGTACTCTCCCTGCTGGAGGGGACGTGTTGGTCCTTCTTTCTTCTCTTCCATTTCCTCTCTGATTTGCTTCCGTTCCTCACATTCAGGATGTTGTAGCTCTTCACCATTTGAGAAAGTTAGGGAGTGTTTACATTACCCCTTTGCCTTCGTAAGTCTTTCTACAGTTGTGCCAAGAAGAAGGCACCTGAAGATTCCAAAGTGAACGTGGTGTGAGAAGCTGGGCCTGGGGCACCCCAGGCAACGGTTTGGGCGGCGCCTTGGAGAGCGCTCCTGGGACGTGCCTGTGCCTGGCTCCCTCTCCGGTTTCTCCCGAGTTTTCCTGCTAGGCTGAGAGTGTGCTGGCTTGGCATGGCCCCTCCATGGTGTCTTCCCGTTCTGTTCATGCATTTTATCTCCTTTCCGTTTTAAGCATTACCGTCTGTGAAGCATCCTGTACAAATCTACCCCTGTGTGAATGACAGATAATCGTCATTTATTCAGGTACTTGCCGTTCTGCCAAATGTAATGCTCTGCATGCGGGTCTGAAAACTCGGTGGTGAGCATTGTTACACCACACTTCAAATTTCCGGAAGCTCCCCTCCCTCTCACAGAGAATAGCTTGAGTTGCTAAATCCCACTTTTTGGAGTTTTACTGATTCCAGGGCTCTTAACTTTTCCCCACTTCCTTTGGAATGGCACCAGAGAGCTTGGTTTTAAACTAAGATTAGTGCCCAGTTAGGGGTGTTCTTGATTGTCCCTAATCTTCCTCATCTTTCAAAAAAGGACTTCTTTTTGTGGGACCTCTGGTGGACAGTGTGAGGAGCAGCCTCTGACCCAGGTGGTGGGCTAAGTCCTGGCACTTGCGCGGGCTCAGGTGCGCTTTTTCTGTTTTCTCTTCAGCGAGCTGGAACGCCTGAGCAATCTGGTGGGCAAGCCGTCCGAGAACCACCCGCTCCATAACAGCGGGCTGCTGAGCCTGGACCCCGTGCAGGACAAAACGCCTCTGTACAGTCAGCTCCTCCAGGCGTACAAGTGGTCGAACAAGGTAAGGGCGACACAGGGAGCGATCCAGGAACGGCCCAGTTTCCTTCCGTTTCCTAGGGGCAGACGGCGAGGGCGAGTTTTTATTTCTTTTTTTGTTCTTGATTCTGCCTGGGGTTCCAGTGTCGGACGCTTTAGAATTTCCCTGTGAGCTGTTGTGTAGTCCTTTGAAGTCTTCGAGGCTTGCTTATTCACAGTGCTCAGGTAATTTAGGTGAACCATCAAAGTCAGGTGTGTGTGACCTGGAGGCTGGTTATAGGAAGCAGTTTCTATAAACCCCTTAAATTATGTACAGAATGCGGTGTGTGCATTTTTCCCCCTGGGGAAGCCTTCCTAGCTTTCATCAGATTCTCAGAGGAGCCCTCACTCCCCAAAGGTGGGGACTGGGGGTCTGGAGGTTCCGCCACTCACTGTCGCCTGTGCTGCTTGCACCGTCCTCGCGCGTCGCGGGTGGAAGGGTGTCACTAGAGCGCTGTTAGATTGCTCTCAGTTGCTCTCTGATTACTTCAGGCTGCATCTGGGGGAGATTGTTCCGTGCACACTCCACAGAATTCGCTGTTTGTGGTTTCCTCCGGCAGGCGGGCCAGCAGTGGCAGAGACCCCCAGGACAGCTGTACCGGGAACACGAAACTGTGGTCCGAAAATACCAGGCGCACTTGGGGTCATGGCCTGGAAACGTTTGCTGATAAGTCCCTTCTGTTTCGGTGCTGTGGGTGGTGTGTCCTTTGACTTTTTTCCTGCTGGTGGAGGATGAGACTCTGTGTTTGGAACGGTTTTGGTAGCGTTTCTCATTAGCCTCTGCTGCCTCCTTATTTCTTACGGTTACTGGCTGCAAACTGCTCTGCTGCTCCAGCTGTTCATCGGGGTTTCCTCTTTGCTCTGGGCCTTGTCCCCTCAGGTGTTGGATGACAGGTCAGCCTTGACAGTGTGTCCTGTGTGCGGCAGTTGCTCTGTGGGGTATTTATATTCTTTGGTTTTCGGTGGAACCCTGGAAGCCGAGTCCGAGATTCAGGGAGAAGCGGTTGATCGTGCGGTGCTAGAGAAAGAACTTGAGGCTTGGGTGGGCCAACAGTGACAAACTGAATCCGGTCCTGGGGATCAGGGTGCCTAGGCACTGTGGGATCTGTCGCTCTCTTGTCCTCTCTAGACCTCTGCTGTGTTGGCCTGGTCTCTCTTTCTGGTAGGAAAGTTAGCCCAGCATCTGTGGGTTTGCATGGTCCTTACATCAGCTGGTCTCTCAGTGTCCAGGGTCCAGTGTCTCAGCTGGTCTCCAGGGTCATCAGACCCTGGAGAAGAGCTCTGGCCCTGCTTGGTAGATGGCCCCTGAGAAAGTTCACTAAATCCAGGGGGTGGCATTCTCTGATTGGCCAACATGGAGCACCGCCAGCACAGGAAGCGGGGCCCCTTGCAGTTGGAGACAGGCAGTTCCCAAAGGAGGAGATTGCAGTTGCCAGGGCCAGATGTGAGACTGTCCCAGCCTGTCATGGACAGCACTGCCCTCTGAGGCCATCCTGTGTGTGATTCCTTGTTTTCCCAAGGGGACTCTTGGTCATCTTAACAGGAGTTTACCTGATGGGTGGGTTGTGTCAGTTGGAGCATGGGTGTCACAGTGTGGGCAGGGGTGTTCTTGGGACATGCTGGAGGGATGGAGATTTCCCAGAGGGGAGACCGCAAGTGACTGGGATTCCAGGGGAAGTGACTGGCTTTAAATTGAAACGATGCATTGTTCCCTGAATTAATAGTTCGAGTATTAACATAGAAGCGCCTGCCCCTGCCCCCAATCTGGCCCCAAGAAGGAAAGAGGTCGCATGAAGGAAAGAACTTGTTCTGGTGATGCTGCAGGAGGAGAGTGGGTGCAGGCATTTGTGAGACATAAATCCCAGTGAGCCGTGGGGGAGCGCAGGGGTCTTAGTCACGCCTGCAGAGGAAGTGCTCTCGTGAGGCTCCCTGCTGCCCCCCCAGGGGGAGATCGGGGGAGCCAGGAGGGATGGGGAGAGTGATGGGGGGTCTTCAGTGCAGCCCCGGACTTCACGGCAGAGCAGACCGGGCCCCAGTGGACCGACTCGCTCGGCTCGGCAGCTGGAGAAGAGTTTGTGTTTCCTGACTGAGGCCAGGGGTCTCTCCTCTGAAACCTGGTGGGTCCATCGTCCAGTTTGACTTCAGGCTTTTGACAACAGAAAACATTCTTCCCGCTTTAACCTGTTTCCTAGAAACAGTTCATGTATTTTATTCATGAATCTGTATGCATTTTGCTGATTTTCCTTTGTCAGAGGATGGAGACGGCGTATGCGTGGCACGTGTGTCCTCAGACACGTCTGCCCTGCCTCGTCCAGGGCAGACACCTCTGGTCAGCTGTGGTGTCCCTCCCTGCCGAGGCCGCATGCAAACTCAAAGGTGGGCTGCAGGGAAGATGTGCTTTTATTTCTGTTACAGCGGGTAATGTCCTCTCTGGCTGGGACTCACCTGACTCCAGAAAGGGTGTTAGGTAGATTACAAGAATAAATAAAACCCTGAAAGCAACGAGGGAAACAGAGCAAGGATGTCTTATGGACACATCTTTAAAAACTGAAGAAATAACCCCAAGAAAGAAGCCAGCATTCTAATTTTCAGCTGGGGGTACGGAAGCAAATGTCTATATGTGAGTATCTCGATTCTCGTACAAATGGAAAGAGTTTTTTAATTGCTGAGACTCTCATCGTTCATCATTTCTCCCTCAAAGAGTTTAAACCAAGCGCATTGATAACGTTAAATGCAGCTGGGGGTAACTGGCCAGTGCCAGCTCTCCGCCCGGGGCCTGAGGGCTGGGGGGTGCGGGACAGGCTCTGCCGCCCCCTCCCGTGCTAGACTCCGGTTTAGTGTGCTGTTGGCCCCAGAAGAGTCTCGTTCCTGCCTCACACTGATTATTTTCTTGAGGGGATTTTGTGATTTTGTAAAGTCTGTTGGAATATTGCGTGGTAGTTGGCATAATTGTTAGGATAACACATGGAAAAATTAATCTAATCTAGTGAAATGATGTTGAAGTGCTGTGAGCAGCACGCTCTCCATGCAGAACCGGGGGATGGACTCCGAGTTTCGCTCGTAGCGCCCACGGAGGGTTGTTCGTGCAGGGGTGACAGGCGGTCCTGACGAGGCCAAGATAATTGGCCTTGGCACTGCTCGCGCTGTGCAGTGGCCATGGGCACGTTCTTCTGCTCATTATGTTCGGATTGCTGAGAGTCAGGCGGCACTCACCCGTCGGTCCCTTTCTCAAGGTTCCAGCGTCCTGTGACCAGGCCCTCATTTTCGGCTCAGACTTTCTTTCCTGTGTTTGTGGCAGGGGCTCTGTGTCTGTCCGCCTGGAAAGCAGACTGAGACTTCCGCCTGTCTCTGAGGGCATGGAGACCCCGGCAGCCACTCGCTCCGGGGGGCGGGGAGCGGGCCCAGAGGCAGCGGCTGCCTCCGCTCCTGTCCTGTAGTTGGATGCCTCGTCTTCCATTTTCACTAGAGGAGGGGCGCCCCTGCTCCGAGACTGCTCACTGGGCAGGTCCGAAGGCGTTTCCTCCCCTCCCTCCTGACCTGCTCTAGTTCCTTCCTGGCTCCACGTGACCGTCACCTTCATCTCTCAAATCCGCCGTATTTTGGAGTCGTGGAGCTAACGGGTGGGATTGTTTAAGTCACAGAACTGGCCCTTTTCCTCAAGGGACCTTGTCCTCTTTGAAGTCCTCAGGGAGAGACACTGTTGTCTGTCTTGTCCCCTGCGGGGAGTCCCAGCCCCTAGCGAAGCGCCTGGTGTGTGGTAGCATTCAGTTACAGTGCCTTGAATGAACGCAGGGGTGGCCGAAATCTTTCTTTTGCTGCTGAGTTTTTAACTTGCAGCCCCTCTGTGGTCTGCTGGCTTGTGTGTCTGGTCAAGTGCAGTGAGGGCACTCCCATCGGGGCCATTACTGAGAGTCTGGTTGTGCTGCTTGTAGAGAAAAGTGCGACCCGAGACGTGGGCCCTGGCTGGGCTCCAGTGGGGCTTGAAGGGCCCTTGGCGCACTGGCGGTCCGTCTCTGAGGGCTGAGGTCAGCAGTTTTGCCCACGTCTTCTGTCACCTGGTGTGCCGTTCTGGGAGAGCTGGCTGACAGCTGGTGCTCGGGACGGGTGGGGCTCGGTGGAGGTCTGAGGTGGACCTAGTCAGGCTGATGCGGGCGGATGCGCCTGACGTCGGTGTCCCGTGGCAGCCGTTGTCTGGCAGGACTGTGAGGCCTGTCCGGGAAGAGGGCGGCAGCTCCATCAGCGTCCGAGGGACCGTCCCGCTTTGTCAGTGATGAGTAGCCAGTTTCTGCTCCTCTGTTCTCCTTGCCAGGCCCGCTCCGTCGCGCCCTCTCTGGTACATGCCGAGTCGTTCAAAACATAATTTGGGCAGAAGGGTTGCTCTGATGCCCCTTGCAGTGCCAACGTCCTGACTTAGGGACGGGCACTGCTCTTGACGGTCAGTGTTAGAGAGACGTGTGCTGTCACCCGAATCCACCCCCCCGAACCCCTGTCGCGAGTACTGCCCGTGTCGGTGTCCTGGGCCTGCCTGTTGTCAGGCTGCCCTGGTCGGCTTCGATCCCGACTCCCCCCCCAAACTCTGGTACCACGGGGCCATCACAAAAAGAACAAACAAACCAACAGAAACTAAAGGAATCCTGGATGCTCTTGGATTTGGGCATAAAGGAAGGCGAGGCCAGAAGCGGCAGGGCTAAGGGCAGGTTTTCCAGTTAGGCTGTGTGAGCTCCGGTCCAGCGCTGACTCTGCACCTCGGACAAGTTTGGAAAGCACCAGTGTCCTCATCTGTAAAGTGGGATAATATAAGTATTTGTATCATAGCATTATGGTGAAGACTAAGTGAAAAATGCGTGTAAAATGCCTTAGGATGATTCGTATATGTTAAGTGTTAACATAATAGAGCATGTTTGTATTTATCGATGGAGGGGCAGGATGGCGCAGTGGTTAAGACACCGGCTGCAGAGCTAGACAGCTTTGGTCTGCAGCCCAGCC